GCCCACAGTTAAAATAGACCAAAGAATAATCTTGATACAACTTCAAGAGACAGAGGATTCAATCAGAGCCATGCAAAGTGGTAAAGCCCCGGGACCAGACGGGTTTCCCGTCGAGTTTTATAAAAAATTTTCCTCACAACTATCCCCTTTGCTTCTTAATATGTTCAATCACTCTCTTGATCAATCAAAACTGCCATCAAGTCTTACACAGGCCCATATCACAGTTCTTCTGAAGCCAGATAAAGATGCCCTTGATTGTAGTTCTTACAGACCTATTTCCTTACTAAATGTGGACGTTAAAATTTTATCTAAAGTACTGGCCTCTAGAATAGGCAGTGCATTTAAGGCAGATCTAACCCATATGTTCTGGTCATGTACTAAACTGAGACAATTTTGGTCTTCAATATTTGAAATTTTAAACTCTGCATTTAATTTAAGAATGCAGCCTAACCCAATAATGGAATTAATTTTGTAGGGTGCCACAAGTTTGTTAAAATTTCCAAAGGGTGTCGCGACTAAAAAAAGGTTGGGAAACACTGTTCTAAATGACAGTTTTCCTAAAATGATATCCTATTCTCCTGTTCCTAAAATAAGAAATATCACAATATATCGTCTTGCTTACAGTATTGCAATATATTGCAACATATCGTATCGCAACCCCTGTATCGTGATACGTATCATATCACCAGATTCTTGCCGATACACAGCCCTACTTTTCCCCCAATCGCTCTGATCCCACAGGTAATCAGGCAAATCAGGGAACAGAGACACAAGGTTCTGTTGGTGGCCCCGCTCTGGAGAAACCAACACTGGTTCGCAGAGCTGTATCGGCTGCTCTCGGCAGCCCCGTGGCCCATTCCCCTGAGACGGGACCTCCTCTCTCAGGCAAACCGAACGATATGGCACCCCCAGCACGAGCTGTGGGCTCTGCACCTTTGGCCTCTCGATGGGAGCCTGCGGACCTCCCCAAGAACGTGCTAAACACAATCTCTCAGGCTAGAGCACCATCTACAAGATGCCTCTATGCCCTTAAAGGGTCTGTCTTCGCCACCTGGTGTGCAGCCCCAATCTCAAGTCGTCGCAGACCCAATTTCCTGTGACATATCTCTGATATTGTCCTTCTTGCAAGAGCTGTTGGATAAGGGTCGTTCCCCTTCCATGCTCAAGGTCTATGTAGCAGCCATAGCAGCCTCTCACGCTCCTATAGCTGGCCAATCGGTGGGCAGGAACAACTTAGCTGTTCGTTTTCTGAAAGGGTCTAGGAGGCTCAACCCACCTCACCCCATCACCGTCCCTACATGGGATCTGCCTACGGTGTTGAGGGCTCTGAAAAGCCCTCCCTTTGAGCCACTACAGTCCATTGACCTTCATCCCCTGATGCTCAAGACCGCTCTGCTACTAACATTAGCATCGGCAAAGCGTATGGGAGATCTCTGTGAGCCCCACCTGCCTCGAGTTCGGGCCCAAGACGACTTGTTAATCTAATGAATAACTGATTTGTTAAATCAAATGAAAAATTGTGTTTTTGATTGGTCCAGACGCTACACCGTTAAGAGCTCAGATAATAACTCTATACAACGACAGAGATACGGGAATGAGTACTGCGTTGCTAGCCATGCTATGTAGCTGCACTACTCAGTCGTCACTTCAGTCGAAGTAACCTGAGGATCCTATGGCAAAATGCCCGCTTATATAGCCAGATGGCCCGCCCATTCTGGCAGGCTCCGCTGCCGAGCCATTGGTTCGTTTTTTATTCACTGCACGAACCAATGGCCGTGCAGTTACACTGCGTTATTGAAAGGCTTCAGTCATCGGAGAAAAAGGAGTTTTTCCCGTAGCGTATTAGCAGACGCAGTACTCGTTCCCGTATCTCAGGGAACCGAGGTTAAGTCAGTAACAGAGTACGTTCACTTTGGCTCATTATGTTAGACCTTACTAATAGATACCTGTATATTATTTGCTCTTTATAGGTGCAGAAATGAAAGCTTCCAGACAAAGATATCACCAGATTAAGAAGTGGAAAGACATGTTACATGTAGCAACTATATGATATAATACGATATAATGTAATAATGTACATAATGTAAAAACTGCACATAATGTAATAAATATTACATTATTGTAATAAAATGTTCATAATGTAATAATTTTCTCAAAATGTAATAAAATCTTGAGCTCATAATGTAATAATTTTTCAATGTAATAAAATGTTTTCACATAATGTAATCACAGTTCATAAGTTAATACCAGCACATAATTTAAATGTTTTTATATGTTTATCTGCCATTGCCTGAGGCAGATAACCCAATCTATGACATTAGACTTTGGAAACTTTTATTTGTTTTTTCCAAATGTATTCATAAAAAATACCTTCAATTCAAGAACAGATAATTTAGTAGGGGCGCAACTGAATTGTTCCTAGGAATAATTTTGATCAATTAAAATATATTTATATGTAACCACTGTCGTTGTCATCATACCACGGACATTACCTGAGAAGTTAAAGTAAATACATCAGCAAACTGCACTCTTTCAAGGACGTGTATTTAATGCATGGCCAAAGAACATAATCGAAGTGTTTAAAACATGCAAAGTAGGACTGCAAACTGTTCCCGTATTTAAGTAACATTCCATATTAAATCCATACAGAAAGCAGTTTATCGTGTCACGCCCAGTTTAGGAAAGAAAAATAAATAAATAAAAACCAAGAGCACCCTTATTTGAAACTGTAATAACATATTTGGCAAACTCTTCTGTGCATATTTGCATTTGCGCTCTGGAGAGCATCAGATGTTTCTATTTACAACTTTGCAGCATTGAGCAGTGTAGCCAATCAGAGACACATCTGTTGAACCGATGAACTGAGATAAGTGACAGGCTCAGTGCATTTGAAATTATAAAGGGAGCACTCTTTGCACACTAGGTCAGGGCGATTTAATTTTTCTGATTTTATCAATTAATTTAATGTTTTGCCACGATTTTATTTGTTAGAAATCGAGGAATTGAGGAATTTTGAATAGAAATATTACCAAATGTCAGAATTAGACATTTTGACAATAGGCCAATGATAAGAGAAAGCGAAAAGAACGATCCAACCGCGTGTACCGACACGCATGTGATTAACTGCTCATATGTGATGCGTCCATATCGCTAGCTGCCATTCGCTTTTGTGTTGACAAAGATGCAACACGGACAGTGGAATAGGTAAAACATGCAAGAAGATGGGAGTGAACTTCTTTTAACTTGAGCGGCGTGTTTTTAGAATGCTGTTTAATGCATGAGACGCCGCATAAAAAAAACAATGGAAAAGCAGCACAATTAAAATAAAACCTGTAACTACTACTTTATGTCTGATATTTCATGTTTGCATCACAGTGACAGGCTGAAAGCTGCTGTTCATTGTTTTCACAGTACAGTTATTGTTAACAGTCTACTGGTGTTATACCTTCGGAAGTCAGAAAGAGCTTTATTACCAAGTATGTTTACACACACGGGGGAAGTCGTGGCCTAATGGTTAGAGAGTCGGACTCGTAACCCAAAGGTTGCGGGTTCGAGTCTCGTACCGGCAGGGATTGTAGGTGGGGGGAGTGAATGTACAGCGCTCTCTCCCACCTTCAATACCACGACTGAGGTGCCCTTGAGCAAGGCACCGAACCCCCAACTGCTCCCCGGGAGCCGCAGCAAAAATGGCTGCCCACTGCTCCGGGTGTGTGTTCACGGTGTGTGTGTGTTCACTGCTGTGTGTGTGCACTTTGGATGGGTTAAAATGCAGAGCACTAATTCCAAGTATGGGTCACCATGTACACTTGGCCCCATGTCACGTCACTTCACACAAGGAATTTGACCTGGTGACAGGAGCTTTCAGTGCAGAAAGTGCAGCAGACATAGGAATTACACAGTAGAGTATAACATATTCTTATAAATAAAAAAAGAAAAACAGAAAATTCAATGATGCACTATATACAGTAGAAATATAGAGAAATGTAATTGTTTGAATGAATGTACAGATATATTTACAAGTGTGCAGTTTAAAATGTACAATTTTCGGATTCTATATATAAAGTCAGTCATTTTGAATTTGAATTACATTGACTTGAGAATTTTTTTAAGCATTTTCATTGTAGCCTATTATTTCTGATCATATAAAATGTATAAGACAAGTTTGTACAGGATGTAGTTGTAATTCATGCATCTTTTCTGCAAAGATATTTAACAAGTCATTTGTTTAACATTTGCATCATGTTGACAACATGTGTGGTGCACTTGGACAAACAGATCACTGGAGCTGTGCAAAGTCCCTTCATGCTTCAAACGGCTCCACCATCATCCCCATCCCAAAGAAACCCAAAATTATATATATATATATATATATATATATTCACGCTGGGGTGCATCGAAAGACGATAATCATGTATCGATGATAGCTAGAGATATTGTCAAAAGCATCAAATGTTGGCAGCAATATACAGTATATATGTACAGACAACATATTGTTTATAAATCCCAATATATGACAATACATATGTCAGTATATATGTACAGACAACATATTGTTTATAAATCCCAATATATGACAATACATATGTCAGTATATATGTACAGACAACATATTGTTTATAAATCCCAATATATGGTTTATAGATCAGGCCTGTCTGAACGGCGCAAATGTGTTTTGTGTTACATGAATAAATCAAATGATGAAGAACAATGGATTGGAATAGTTTTCATTTTATATTACATAACACTGTAAGCCTTCTTTATGCTAGGCCTATTTTTTAAAATAGCTTCAAAAAGTGGAGTGGGGACAAAATCAACTTTGTCAAAAAGTGGTGGGGATATGTTCCACCTGCAAATTACACCTACACATATACATACACACACAGGCTTGTCATAGTAAGCAAATATATTATGCAATCAATACTCCTTCACTTCTGGCAGATTACAACATTCTTTAAATTTCACAATTTAAGAAAGAGTCCATACAATCAGTGTAATCCGTCCAAGTATACATTTATTAAAAACTGCAGTGTATAAATCACAACACTTTTTACACAATCTGTACACAGACATGTCAAATAGCAATTAGTGTTGAATGTGTTATTTAAAAATTGGCCATTGCATCATAATTGAATGTAGTGCTGGATCAGTACTGTAATTAACAAGACTTATCATTTAACTTTTTCAAAAGGTACTTGTTTTTATTTTTCAATTGTTTTTTTTTTCAATGAGGTGCTCTTACAGCAATTATTTGTTATTCTTTAAATGATAATGATACAGATATATTACCTAAAAACCATACAAAAGAAGAGAAAAAAAAATGTACATCCAAATAACATTAAACACAAAAGTTCTTGTCGTCTTTCCTCATTTCAATAAACCATTCATGCCCCAAAAAGCCCTTTCAGACGGATACTGTACTACACAGAGGAGTTTCAATGGCAATGAAGTGAGGATATTGTGAAACTGTGATTCTCTCAGCAATTGTCATGGTCAGAAGAGAATAGGGTAATCAGACCTGCAGTATCAGTGTTCTCCAGTATATCTCTCGTAGGCTTTGGCTTCTTAAACAGTGATGGAAGGTTTCGGATATGTACTTCCTTCTTAAACTGCTGTCCAAGGGGTTTCTATCAGTACACACACAAACACAAACACAAACAAACATTTCAATCAAATAAAATTGCATACAGTTAAACAGACATTACTTCATTATAGCAGACCAGGAAATAATTGAGCACATTACACAAAGAATTTGACAAATTTTGCAATGTAAAAAAAGATTTTTTTAATTTTTTTATAACCACATTCTTCTAGGTCAGTGGTTCTAAAACATTTTAGTCGTGTACCAGGCATTTACCCCCCCCACCCCCACCAGTCACAAAGTATTTTGAAAAAGTGCACATGTAACATATACCCTTGTAAAATAACTACCTTTTATGAAACACAATTTGTATGCAACCTATTGTATATGTTTAAATAAATTACTGTTTAATGAGATGGGTGTGCTTGATATGATAACGGCGATGTTTGGCTGTATCGGAGAGAGTCTGAGTCTTAAATCGTTTTCTGTGGACAGTCTGTCGATATTGTTGTTTATGCCAGTATAAGTGCTGAGAACACAAAGGTACGTTGTCGCGAAGGGCATCAAAGTCTTTACAGTGCAATTTGCAGTAAGGGTAAAAATCTTTGTGAGGCAGATGCCACAAAACCTGCCACCCGGAGGCAGCTCCCAATCTGAGATGCATGTGAACAAACTGATGATGCAACCCGGGTCTCCTTTTATTCTTTTTTTTTTTTTACCTGTTTGGCACACAATATATAACCTGCTGTTTTTTTTTTTTTACTAGTGGGAGCCACAACGGTACACATTAACCACATGCTTTTCACCTGCCTAAAGATACCTCGCTGCTACTGGACACTCTGATTGATGCACATGTTAAAATTGACAATGCAACCCTCCTCTCCTTCTATACTTTTAAGCCTACCTATTTGCCATCTTTCCTTAAATATTTTTTCCTTTTATTCCATAAAGGAGCTCGTGTCCCATGGTAGCCTACTGTACACATACTGTAAGTGCGTATGAATTACAGATGTGGCCTTTAAGAATGCATATTTTCACATGGCAGCACGCAATTCGTCATGCGTAATCATGGAGCTCCCTGCAGGCGCTTTTTAATTTTTAAAACATTGTTGTGCTTCACACAATATCCACCAGGTGGCCTAAGGAACAACATTCTGTAGTTAAACACCACGGCCAGGGGTGCGTTTCCCTAAAGCATAATTTGACGTCATTAACAATGGCCTATATTGTTGAACTATTGTGTTTCAAAGGACGGAGATGTGATCATGTTCAGGAAACATGATTAGTTAGTTTGTTTCTACAACAATGCATCGTACTATGGTGGTTAATCAACGAGTTACGTCATTGTATGGGAAACGCACCCCAGATCAGACTGCTTTTGATGAGAATTCATTTTCTGACAGTGTCTGGTAGTTTAATGCATAAAATAGCCTATTTATATTAGAATATCACTTTAAAATATAATTCACCCAAATATTTAGTAAAAAGAACTTGGAAAACCAATTTAGGCTACATTGTCATTATTTGTAAGCACACACTTTATTGCGCTTTCCGCAGACACTGGCAATATGTACGCTACTATGTATTGCTAGTCAAGTCAGCACGCTGATTTAATTAGTCTTACTAAAAGTTAATTAAAAAAACAACGATTTGAGTGATGCAAAAGTGGTCATTCATGCATATCTGCATAAAGTTTTATATTTTGTTTTTGATTGTTTACTTCAATTCCACATTTCAAGCTGCCTAATATACAAAAGTAGCTATAGCCTATGAATGATGTTCTATTTATGACCAAAAACATCCATTTAAGTTCAAATGCTCTTATAAGAAAATAATCCAAGTGAACGCGCATGTGCGCTCATCCAAGGTTAATTTATCATGTCAGAATTAAAACCCTATAGCAATGCCACTCAGTCAGGTGTGCCAACTCTTATTTATAAACAGCAATATTTCATACCAAATAAATAAACAATTCCTTTCTAAAACTGTGGCTGTAATATTTTTTTTAGGATTTTTGAGAGATTCAAGGTCGATATGTTGCTCTGAATAATTTTTACCTTTCGTTTGATTGAAAATTATTTTATAATTTCCATATTTTATTTTCAAGTATTTTGAATGTATTTCTCCTCTTGCTTATTTCATAATCTTTAATGGTGTATTTTGATGTTTTATTTGTTTAGGCTATGTAAAGCGCTTTAACAGTTAAAGGCGATAGAAAATAAAGATTATTATTATATTATTATTATTATTATTATGAAATTATAAAACTGGCTGGCTGTATTTTTCTTATTAAAATCACTGAAATATATAAATGTCAATGTCACATAGGCCTAAGTCACTAGGCTTTACGTTGTATTTTATTAATACATTCATAAATAATGTAGGCTAAAATACAGGTGAATAAAGCAAAATGTTTACAAAAATGATAAACATTATAGCTATAAACACAGCTATAGGTTATTTTAGTTCCCTTCTAAAATATATTTTTACTTTACCAAAAAAGCAGTCTTTCAACTTTTTCCTGTCAAAAAAGACGCCAAGTGTGAACACGCCCTTAGAGAGGAAACTATTACTCCGTAATTTATGGTCATAAAGACAGAAGCAAAACATAATTAAAAACTGTAAAGCCTTTGCAAAATAAAGAAAACGTGCAGGATGCCGCTTAATTTCTGCTGTCTCGGTTTCCTTTCCGTGAACTTCAAGCACACCACAAAGACACTCAGCACATTTTTTTCTTTCGCTTTTTAAATAAATTATTTAAGTGAAATATATTTCATGCATAGGCTTATATATTTATTTTTATTTCTATAGTTTTATTCAGTTTTCTCTGTTCAGAAACAGATGCGGTTTTACACCATTTTATTACAACAGTAAAGTGATTCTTAAATTATCCTTAAAATATAAGAAATAAAAGAATCCATACAGGCCTACAGTTGCTTTATGTTTGTTTTTTATGTTTTTTCATCTTCAGAAATAATAAAATAAAACAATGTTTGACGGTTATTGGCTAGAGCGATGCATTAATAATCTGAGCTAAAGTCTGAGCTGAACAACAAGCTTGCTAAGCGTGACAAGTAGCAAGTTTACAGAGATTTTTTTCGTCTTCTCTGTGTTCATGCAAACTTATCTGAACTAAATGAACATTTTAACAGGTTTACATTCTAGCTTTTAAAATAAATGCTTTCAAACAGGAACAAATAAACACCAACAAAACTACCAATCACTAAAAGAAAAAACACCCCCCCAAAAATTGAGCGTCAACCGCTTATGACGTCATTGTTGGTGCCGTGCCGGCACACTGTGCTCAAAATTAGGCAAAACCATTGTTAAATGTGTTAAAGACTGACAAATGTAAAAAGAAAACAGTCATTTGTATTATTGGTTTTATTTTGTGTTTATTATGATTAAATTAGGTTTTGTGTTTATAAAATATGTCTATTGTATATATGTAAAGAGTATAGTTGAAAATTTATTGTTTTAAAAAAGGCCTATAAAAAGGGAGGCCAGACTCACATTTATCACTTGTTAACCAAGTCGAACGCGAGCGTGCATCAGTAGTACCGTGAGCAACCCCCATCAAAGCGAGTATATTGAAGATACCCTTTGTGTGTATATATTTTGTATATAACTTTTTCATATTTATTTTCCAGTTTGTTGTTTCTTTGTTACTTTGCATTTTTTTGTGTCTTTGGTGATTACACTGTATATATTTCTTCACGCCATCATTCGTGGACTTTTATATTTATCTGTGGTGCTTTAAATAAACTACACCTTGCACGAAAGTGCTATTGTGGGTAGAGCCATCATTTTTACATCTTTTACGGACACTTTCTACATCCCCAAGCGAGTTGGTGGTTCTCGCAATATCACATTTGGTGGCAGTGGTGGGATGGCTACCCGCAAGATAGTGCCGAAAAGCAAAAGAACCCGAGGTAGATTATGATCACGGGCGAAAGTGGTTGCAGAGGGGGATGCGGTATGGGACACCGCAGAGTCGACGGAGGATGAAGGGGGAGCGGAGGCATTTCCAAAGGCTTCATCTGAGTCCCACACACCATCAAGGTCAAAGTCGATGCACAGGAGCAATTGGAGAAGAGGCATCTGGCAGAGCTCCAGGGACTACGGGATGTGATTCTGCAGTCTGCTAGATCTGCTGAGACTCCCAGTGATGCCGAGGGCCTGCGAATGAATCTTCCGACGCCGACTGCTTCAAGAACACGCTCGCAGCACTGACACCCCAGCAAGTCGATTTCCAAGCCAACCGAGGCCAATGAGTGAACTGCCAAAGATACCCGTCTTCCAACAGGGGGAGGACATTGAGAGTTATCTTCGATGCTTCGAACGCCTGGCCAAGACTTGGGGATGGCCTGAGGGAGAGTGGAATTTTCGTTTGGTTCCATTGCTTACCAGGCAGGCTTTGGAGGCTTACCTGGTGATGGATGAGGAGCGAGCAGGAGTGTATGCTAGAGCATAGAACAGTCATTTCTGATGAATGTTGTTACAGTTCATGATTTGCCTGCTGATATAATTTTAGAAAGACACTTACCTAAACTCTATGAACTGTTGCAAGCCTCCATGAACTCTGAGACTGTTACCTCTGCCACTGTACATAAATCATGCCCTGCTGTTACCCGGGCTCAAGCTAAAGCAGGTCTGCAGCCACTGCCAGACTTGCACAATAGTCTGCTGCAGGGCGGGACCAAGGGCCCAAGAAAACCACGTCGGCTTGAAAAGTATCTGGGTGACTGGAAGATCCCAGAAAACATTGGGGAACTGCAAAGAAAAGATGAGTCGCTTAAGTCACTGTTAGAAAAAGCTGCCTGTGAAAAAGGTTCAAACTTGTGTGATGAAAAGTATGTGATTATGAAAGATGTGTTGTACTTGCAAGCCAAAAATGTTACTTGTTTAATTGTTTCTAGATGTTGTAGACCCATTGTCTTGCACCTCGCACGCACCATTCCATGGGCTGGTCACTTGGGACAGCATAAAACATACACTCACATCAATTCACGTTTTCATTGGCCTTCATTTTACACTGACGTACAG